GTCCCTTCCTCCTGCTTCGACTCCGCTCCCGCCGGAAAGTCCTTCGGAGGAGCCGGCTGCTAAGACCCTCCAAGTAGCCGCCTCGGTCTCTCCCAAGGAGCCCCTCCCGGCTATGGAGCCTCCCAAGAAGCCAGTGAGTGGGGGAAAGGTGGATCTGTCCACCCCCAAGCCTGGCGTGGGCAAGGGATCCCCTTCCACGCCCAAGCGGGCCCCGGCCAGAGCCTTGCCCAAGGCGCCACTTGCTAAGAAGGTGCTGCCCGCTAAGAAGGCCGTGAAAGTCGCCCAAAGGCCCCAAAAGGCTTTAAACACAGTAGGCGCCGCAGCAGAAAAGGAGCTCGCTCAGCCTTCATCCCTTCCTACTGCTTCGACTCCACTGCCACCGGAAAGTCCTTCGGAGGAGCCGGCTGCTAAGTGGGCAAAGCCTGCCACCCCAGAGGCTGCCGTCCCTCCTGCAGTGGCCGGAGTCTGTCCAAAGAAGGCCCAGGAGCCGGAAATGACCCCACAGATGAGACGGATGATCTCAGAGGCCATTGCTCAGGGCATTGCCGCAGGCATCCAACAACAACACCCGGCTTCCTCTGCAGCCTCCGACAACGCCTTACGCCAGGGACAGGCTCCTCCTTCTTCCATGAACATCCCAGAGTCCCTTGACAAAGACTTGCCACTGTCTGGGGACCAAGATGGGACTCCAGACCCCCATGGCTTCGTAGGTCTCTTCAGTCCTGCCTTGTTTAAGACACTTCTCCAGAAAGCCAAGGCCACCGCTCGTATAGGAGGAGATCCAGCCGGCTTAGATCCGGCCTCCTCTGATCCCAATAATTTGTTGTTCACAGAACCCGCCACAGAGAAGGAGGAGATCCCCTGCCCAAAGTTTTTCCTGGATGTCGTCCAGCGACAATGGGCTGTGTTAGGGTCGGGTCCACATCCGACCATCAATGACAAACGGTTCTACAATGTAGGCCCGAACTTAACAGCGGCATTTGATCCGCCAACAATTGACGAGCCCGTGGCGGCCTTTCCCTCCTACACCGTTCTCTCCACCAACACGGACGGTGCTTTGAATCCAGAAGAGAAGAAAATAGAAATGGCGCTAGTCATGGGCCATAAGTCAGCTGCCTGGGCGGTCAAGTCAGCGATGGCTGCTTCCTTTTTCAATAGAACGTCCTTGCTCTGGCTCAAACAGATGCGAGCCAGAATCCCAGTCACCGACCTCCAGACTCACGAGGACATCAACAACCTGATAGCGGCGGCAGAATTCTCTGCAGATGCCACCCTGAATTCAGTCAGGTTTGCTTCCAAGTCCATTGGCTCCTCTGTGACAGGCAGACGAGTACTGTGGCTCCGTAACTGGAAGTCAAACATGAAGTTCAAGTGGAAGTTGGCCTGTGCCCCCTTCAAAGGTGAAAAGCTATTCGGAGAGGCCTTAGAGCCTATACTCATAGAGACCAGAGACAAAAAGAAAGTCCTACCCTCTACGTTCAGAAAGCCTAATAAGCAATCCTCCCCCTACTTTCAGAAGCCGCCTTTTAGGGCAGCAGACACCGCAGAGGACTGCTCACAACCGCAAAGGGCATACTTCCAGCGACCTGATCACCAATCAGATAGCCCCAGATATAGAGGCAGGGGCAGGCAGCAGTTCCAATCCAAACGGCCATTAAGAGGCTCGTCTAGAAGTCTGCAGAGCCAACCGTCCAGAGGACCAGAAGCGACTGGGGATTGTAATGCTAAAAGCTTCTATGAGTTGGAGAGTGATACTCCACCTAAAAAGACTCACCAAGCATCTGGTATACAAGAATTTCAAAATCCAGTCCATACTGGAGGGCATCTGGGTGGGCGTCTTCCTGATGTCAATAGATCTCACGGAAACATACCTGGACGTCCCTATATTGCAGATTCACCAATGATTTCTATGGACATGCAACGCGAACCACCATTACAGAGCCCTCACGAAGATACTAGTGATGCTCTTGGCTCACCTCAGGGCTATCCCTATTCCCGTCCAACACTATCTGGCCGACATGTGGATCGAATCCGCCTCTCACCTCCACGCCATAGGGGATCTACTCATCACGATCCGGGTCCTTCAGGGTCCTTCAGGGAATCAGGGATTCACAGTCAACAACGACAAGAGCCACTTGCCTCCTACCGACAGGATACTCCACCTAGCAGCAGCTATAGAAACGACATGCATAGTTTGCCTGTCCCAGGACCGCCAGGACAGCATCAGCGCTCTGGCGAACTGGATTCAATTGGACCAAACGGTGCCTCTCGTCCTCGTCTCACAATTGTTAGGCAAGGTGGTGTCCTGCGTCTCCCTTGTTCCCGGGGCACGTCTGCATACCAGGACATTACAATGGTTCCTCCTGCCTACCCAGAAATACAGCAGGAGCAATTCAACTATCAGAGTCCCATCAGGGGTCCTCCAGGGGTGGATGCCACCGACCACAACCAGGGGATGCCCATTCCAGGAACCGAACAGTCTCATCATCGGTACGGACGCTGGTTTTCTGGGTTGGAGAGCCCAGATAGAGACCCAGATGGCAGAAGGCCAGTGGACACAAGAGGAATGACGAACCAACGACAACTGGGAAGAGATCCAAGCAGGCCACAGAGCCCTCCGATGGATCCAGACCACCATCTCCGGCCACCACATCCTAGCAGACAACGTAGCCACCAAGACCCATATGAACCACCGAGGGAGCACCCACTCGAGGTACCTTGTGCGAGAAGCTGAGCATTTGGGGCACTGGGCAGACGGGCATCTCCTATCCTTGCGAGCTGAACATAAGTCGGGAACCTCCAATGTACTGGAGCCCCGTTTTAGGCCTAGCAGGCTTCCCCACAGCCTCCTTGGGGCCAAAAACAGGCCAATGGGTTTCCCTATGAAAAAGTGAGGCTAAGTTTCTAGTCCTCATGGCATCTGAGCAAGCTCAAATACCTAAATTCTCACTCAAGGATGGGGACTCAATTCTGCTTTCTACAAAAACGGAGTGCATTTATTTCCCCACTTGCGTTGCCCGGGTATTTATTTAAAGGGGGGGGTGGGTGCGAAAATGTCGGGACCAAATGTAATTTCTAATGTTGAATTTTCCCCCTTATCAGAGGGATCCTGCTTGTGGAGTATTGTGAAGCCATTACTGAGCTGTACAGTGGAAGTCATTTTATGGCAGTACAGTAGAAGTCATTTAAAGGCACAGCTTGAGGCTTTCTAGAGTTACACACACACAGCCATTTTTATATAATTATATAGATTAGGAGAACCCCCCCTCTTCCCAGGTGTGATAAAAACAGTATAATTCTCACAAATCTCACTTGACCACTAATTCTCAGTCAACAACATTTGTCTCCTATCGACAGGATATCGACTACCGGAGACTGAGTCCCTTTGGAAGTCCTCCAGGGGCGGATTTCACTGACTACAACCAGGGGAATAACATTCAAGAAACCGAACCGTCTCGCCATCGTTCCAGAGGCCGGTTTTCTCGCCTGGAGAGCCCAGATAGAGACCCAGATGGCAGAAGGCCAGTGGACAGAAGAGGAACTATGCAAGAACGTCAACCGGTAAGAGCTCAAAGCAGGCCACGGAGCCCTTGAAGGGATCCAGACCACCATCACTGGCCACTGCGTAGTGATCCTAGTAGACAACATAGCCACCAAGGCCCAGATAAACCGCCAAGGGAGCACCCACTCGAGGTACCTCATGCAAGAATCTGGACACTTGGGGGACTGGGCAAAGGGCATCTTTTATCCATGGGAAAAGGATCATGACTCACCCCCTCCTCGTTTTAGGCCTAGCAGGCATTCCTGCAGCTTCCTGCGAACAAAAAACGGACAGGGGAGAGGGGAGCCGCACCGACCATGCCCTGTTATGGCCCTAACAGGCCTTTCTGCAGCCTCCTGGGAACAAAAACATTCCGTGGGGGTTGCTCCATCCCTAATGCCCCATTTTGGACCTAGCAGGATTCCCTATTGTTACAGATGCTATGTCTGCCTTGTGGGGTGATAACCCGGTCCCTTTCTTGCAGATCTACTTGGGGAGACGGCGCCAAAGAGCGGAGTCCTAAGTACTGGGCGCACTTTTATCCCATCTTTTGATCGGCGTGGCAAGAGTCACATGGACATTGGTGGAAATTTCAAGGGAAGAGTCTTCTTCATTTCCTCTTAAGTTTTTTCTGGAGACGTCATTCCTCACCTTTCGAACTTTACATCCCTATCTTTTACGTCCGGGAGTGACATCCAGTGAGTTGTTAGCTACTGTATCTGAGCTCTCCTTTCCTCATTCCATGTTTTGGGTTTTAAATTCTGCTAGTCTTCGACTTACGACCACAATGTCTGTCATATAGCGAGATGTTGGCAGAGTGAGCTTTGCCCGCACTCCTGCTGTTCATTTTACCTACCTTCCTCGCCACTGTCATTTAAGCAAATTGCAGCAGTTATTAAGTTTGTAAGAGGGATGTTAAGCGAATCTGGCTTTCCACACACCCCTCCCGCAGCTGACATCACTTGTTGCTAATCGGTTCCGAAGCATCTGACATTTCAATCGCCTGACCGCCTCGATGCTACAAAAGTCGTGTCAAAAACGGTACTCAAATGGCCGTTGCAACTTTGGTCACTAAAAGAAGTGTCATCCACCCCCAATCCTTCCCATCCTAACCTTGGGAGCTTAGATGCCAGGGAGCTGCCCACTTTTACTCCGCATGACTTCCGCGCTCACTAATTTCCCCTGAATCTCGTCTGTTATATCGCATTGTGTATCCAACAACCAATAAAAGGACAGATTTGCAATAAAAAATGTCCCTTGAACCACTCTGGAAACGAAAAGGTAGTGGGCTCTCTCTGCAGGAACCAGATTAGATTACGGGGAGAGCATCGTTGAGTTTATTGGCCTCTGTCTCTGAGCCTGGCCTCCTTTGCAGGGCTGTTGTGTGAAAATAAGGAGTGTCCCAGCTCCCTTCGCTTCTTTGGAATTCTGCTCTGAAAAGAAGACCACGTAAATGATATAATAAAGGATCTTGTGGGTGGAGGAAGTAGCCAATTCTGTCTCGGAGGCAGGACGGGTGTTGTTTTGTGGCTTCCAGGGGTAAGACTGGCATCGGACCCCAATGGCTTACAGCCTTGAAGCCCCACCGGACAATTTGATCCAAGCACCTGGCAGGTGCAGTAGGATTTGAGTAGATCTGGGATCCTTTGATCCTTTGCAAATCATCCTGAAAACCTACAAGGGATCCCACTGTCGGATGAAGTCTTGGAAGCTGCAGAAAGAAGACGGGGTGTATTTTTCTACCTTCTGCGTCCTTTCCCTGTCTCCAGCGTGTGGGCTACTAATCCCCGTCCTCCCTGGCTGTGCGTGATGGGCGGTGTAGTCCAGCGCTTCCTTTTCAGGCCCACAGCTGGGAAAGCTTTTCAACGAAGCTTAAAAAATGCCGGAGGGAGGGAGGAAACAGAAGGAGCAAAAGAAAGGAATGAAAAAGAAAACAAGGAAGGAAGGAGAAGAAAAGGGGGGGGGAAAGGCCATTAGGAAGTGAAAGAGGAAGGAGCAAAAGAAAAAGGAAGGAAAGGGAAGGAAAAAAGGAAGGATGGGAGAAAAGAAAAAAGGAAGGATGGGAGAAAAGAAAAAAGGAAGGATGGGAGAAAAGAAAAAAGGAAGGGAAAAGATAGAAAAGGAAGGGAAAAGAAATGGAAGGAAGGGAAAAGAAAAGGAAGCGGAATAAAAGCAAGCAAGAATAAATATATATTTGCTTTCAGGCAGTTAGTGCACATCGGCCTGTCTCCAAAGCTTCGTGGGCGCCGCTAAGAAGCCTCCTCAGCCGGCATTCAGGCTAATTTCACCCTTCCTTCCCCCCCCTTCCGAAATGGTCGCGCCCTCTGACAGCACCGTATCCAATCGGTGCGAGGGAGGCGGAGGCGATGCGAATGGGAGGTTAGGGCTCGGGAGAGACCATCAGACCGGTCAGGAGCGGGGGGGGGTGCGCCGCGGGGAAAGTTGCTTTTCGCGCCCATGGCCGAAGTTGGTGCTGATTTCCAGCGGAAACCGCGCAAAGATTTGGTGGCGGAACAAATCCAAAGCCAGTAAAAATAATAATAAATAAAAACGACTTTTTTAAAAAACGAAGGGGGGCATGTACAAAAATAATAATAATTATGAGGTAAATTGCAGCCATGGAGGAAGGGGGGCGGGACTTTTGCATGATGGGCAGGGTAGGTGGCCTATTCCATCCTGCGAGTGTGCCGAGAGAGAGAGAGAGAGAGAGAGAGAGAGAGAGAGAAGGCGGGAAAAGGGTTAACGCTGCGTCCCTATTTCTCCTCAGAGAGGCAGCCAATCGGGTCTCCGCAGCGTCTCCTTCCCTCAGAGAGTCACTTCAGACTCCGATCCCCGTAGGAGACCAAGAGAGAGACACCCCCCCCTTCTCCAGTACACCCCCTTCCGGCCATGGAGCCTGAGGAGCCAGTGAGTGGGGAAAAGCTGGATCTGGCGGCCCCCGAGGCCACTGGATCCCTCTCAACACCCCGGCCGGCTCCGGCCAGCGCCTCGCCCAAGATCCGAGCCAAGGCGCCTCTCGCCAACAAGACCGCGAAGAAGGCCGCCCAAATTCCCCCCAAGGCTTTAGACACAGTAGATGGTGCAGGGGGAAAGGAGCAGGAGCTCCCCCTTGTGGACGGAGCTGCCGCTTGCAGCGCTTCCCAGCCGTTGCAACCTGTATCGGAGGCAGGTGAGATGCCTATGCCGTCTTGTCCACCAGATGGCGCCAGAGAGGAAGTTTTTCAGCCGCAGCTGCAGGTGATGGAGCCCGCTGAGCCTTCATCCCTTCCTCCTCCATCTCCGCTCCCGCCGGAAAGTCCTTCGGAGGAGCCGGCTGCTAAGAGGGCAAAGCCTGCCGTCCCAGAGGCTGCCGTCCCTTCTCCAGAGAGCCCGGAGCTGGAAATGACCCCGGAGATGAGAGAGATCATATCAGAGGCCATCGCTCAGGGCATTGCTGCAGGCCTCAAACAACACCGCCCGTCAACCTATGCAGCCTCCGACAACGCCTTACGCCAGGGACAGGCTCCTCCTCCTTCTTCCATGAACATCCCAGAATCCCTCGGCAAAGACGTCCCACTGTCTGGGGACAAAGTAGGGACTCCAGATGCCTATGGCGTCACACGTCTCTTCAAGCCTGCCTTGTTTAAGACGCTTCTCCAGAACGCCAAGGCCACAGCTGGGATAGGAAAAGATCCAGCCGCTTCTGATCCAGGTTTATCTGACCCCAATCATTTGTTGTTCTCAAAGCCCACCACAGATGAGGAGATCCCGTGCCCGAAATCTTTTCTTGATGTTGTCCAGCAACAATGGGCTGTACTAGGAGCGGCTCCAAAGCTGACCGAAAATGAGAAACAGTTCTACAATGTGGGTCCAATCATCAGAGGGGCATTAAAACCACCAACAATTGATGAGCCTGTGGCGTCCTATGCCTGCTCCACCATTCTCTCCAACAATTTAAACGATGCTTTGAATCCAGAAGAGAAAAGAACAGAAATGGCGCTCATCTTGGCCCATAAATCGGCGGCCTGGGCGGTTAGGTCAGCGATGGCTGCTTCCTTCTTCACTAGAACATCCTTGCTCTGGCTCAAACAGATGCAGGCCAGATTCCCAGTCACCGACCTCCAGACTCACAAGGACCTCAACAACCTGATAGCAGCGGCAGAATTCTCTGCAGATGCCACCCTGAATTCAGTCAGGTTTGCTTCCAGAGCCATCGGCAACTCTCTGACAGCAAGACGGCTGCTGTGGCTCCGTCCCTGGCAGTCAAACATAAAGTTCAAGTGGAAGTTGGCCTCTACTCACTTCAAAGGTGACAAGCTATTCGGAGAGGCCTTAGAGCCTATACTCATAGAGACCAAAGACAAAAAGAAGGTCCTACCCTCTATGTCCAAACAAGCTGGTCAGAAATCCTTGCCCAACATTCGGAAGCGGAAAGCGGACACTGGGCAGCCACAGAGGGCATACTTCCAGCAACATGGTGGCCAATCCAGTAAGAGGAAGCAGGTCCAATCCAAACAGCCATTTCGAGGCAACGGAAGTCGGTCCTTCCTTCTCTCCTCCAGAAGTCTTCAGAGCCAAGCCTCCAGAGGACCAGCAGTGACTGGGGATTGCAGTCTGAAAGGCTTCGAGGAAGTGGAGAGTGTTTTTCCACTTATAAAGACTCAACAAGCATCTTGTATACAAGAGATTCAAAATGCAGTCCACACAGGAGAGCATCCTGATGTAAATAGATCTCACGGAATCATATCTACACATCCCTATGTTGCCAACTCACCAACGATTTCTATGGATATGCAAAGTGAACCAGCATTGCCAGTACAGAGCTCTCACGAAGATTCTAGCGATGCTCTTGTCTCATCTCGAGACTATCCCTATTCCCGTCCAACACTATCTGGCCGACATGTGGATCGAATTGTCCTCTCTTCTCTGTGCCACAGAGGGCCTACTGATCATGATCCAGGTCCTTCAGGGTCCTTCAGGGAATCAGAGATTCACAGTCAACAACTACAAGAACCACTTGTCTCCTACCGACAAGATGCTCCACCTAGCAGCATCAGTAGACGTGATAACATGCATAGTCTCCCTGTCCCAGAACCGCCAGGACAGCATCAGGGCTCTAGCAAACCGAATCCGATCGTGCCGAATACTGCCTCTCGACCTCGTCTCACAATTGTTAAGCAAGATGGTGTCCTGCGTCTCCTTTGTTCCCGGGGCAAGTCTGCATACCAGGACCTTACAATGGTTCCTCCTGCCTACCCAGAAATACGGCAGGAGCAATTCAGCTACCAGAGACCGAGTCCCAACAGAGGTCCTGCAGTGGTGGATGTCACCGACGACAACCAGGGGATGCCCATTCCAGGAACCGAACCATCGTACTATAGCTACGGACGCCAGTATGCTCGGCTGGAGAGCCCAGATAGAGACCCAGATGGCAGAAGGCCTGTGGACACAAGAGGAATGACTAACCAACATCAACCAGCCACAGATGCAAGCAGGCCATATAGCCCTCCAACGGATCCAGACGACCATCTCCGGCCACCACGTACTTATCCTAGCCGAGAATGTAACCGCCAAAGCCCATATGACCCGCCAAGGGAGCACCCACTTGAGGTACTTCATGCGAGAATCCACGCAGTTGGGGCACTGGGCAGAAGGTCATCTCCTATCCGTGCGAGCGGAACATAACTCGAGAACATCCAATGTACAGGAACCCCATTTTGGGCCTAGCAGGCCTCTCTGCAGCCTCCTGGGGCCAAAAACAACTTTTTTCAAGACTTCAAGTTTCTACTCCTCATAGCATCTGAGCAACTTCGAATACCTAAATTTTCCCTGAAGGGTGGGGGGAGGGGACTTGATTCTGCTTTCTACAAAAATGGGATACATTTATTTCCCTACTAGCTGATTATCCAGCATTGCCCAGGTATTTATTTATAGGAGGAAAATATCTGCACCAAATGTGATTTCTAATGTTGGATTTTTCCCCTTATCAGAAGGAGCCCCCTTATGGAGTACTGTGAAGCCGTCACCATGGCAACTCAACTGTGCTGTACAGTAGAAGCCATTTTATGGCAGTACAGTAGAAGCCATTTAAAGGCACAGCAGGCTCTAGCTTAACAGAACACACACACCTAGGGGTGTTAGGGGTATCTTCCTCACAGTATTTGTCTCCAGAGTAAGTCATCTTTGTACCAAGTTTGGTTCAAATTGCTTGAGGTGTTCTAGAGTTATGCTGCAACACAGACACACACAGACACACACACACACACAGCCATTTTTATATACAGTATATAGATTAGGAGAACTCCCCCTCTTCCCCAATGTCATAAAAACAGTTTAATTCTCATGAATGCGCCTAAAACCCCCATGTGATCATGGATTCACAGTCAACAACAAGAGCCATTTGTCTCCTACCTATAGGATATCGACTACCGGAGGCAGGATCCCATCAGAAGTCCTCCAGTGGTGGATGTCACCAAGCACAACCAGAGGATGGGCATTCAAGAAACCGTACTGTCTCACCATCGCTCCGGAGGCCAGTTTTCTCGGCCAGAGAGCCCAGATAGAGACCCAGATGCCAGAAGGCCGGTGGACAGAAGCAGAACGACGAACCAATGCCAACCAGTAAGAGCTCAAATCAGGCCACGGAGCTCTCAAAAGGATCCAGACCACCATCGCTGGACACCACGTACTGATTCTAGCAGAAAACGAAAGAAATAGGACCCGTATGGACCACCAAGGGAGCACCCACTGCAGGTAACTCATGTGAAAAGATGGGCAATTGGGACACTGGGCAGAAGGGCATCTCCTATCCGTGACAGCAGAATTTAACTCGCCCCCCCCCTCCCCGTTTTGGGCCCAGCAGGCATCCATGAGCCTCCTGCGACCAAAAACGTTCTGTGGGGGTTGCTTCATCCCCAATGCCCCATTTTGGGCCTAGAAAGCCTCTCTGCTCTTACAGGTGCTATGTCTGTTTTGTGGGGTGATAACCCGGTCCCTTTCTTGCAGATCCACTCGGGGAGAAGGCGTCAAAGAGCGGAGCCATCCTAAAACCCGGGCGTAAGGTTTGCCTGTCTCATGTGGCGAGGGTTCCGTGGATATTGGTGGAAATCTGAAGGGAAGAGCCTTCTTCATTTCTCCCTCCTCTTCAGGATTTATATCCCCATACGTCCAGGAGTGACGTCCAGTGAGTTCTTAGCTGATGTGTCCGAGCTCTCTTTTTCTAGATCAGTGTTTGGGCTTTCAAATGACCCTAGTGTCGTAAGTCGAGGACTGCTGAAAAGAAAAATATTCCTCTCTGCCCTTCCACATGCACATTTCTCTGGCTTCATCCCTTCTTCCTGTCTTTCCCCCACCCAAAAAAAAAACCCCACCCAGAAATTTATCTTTGAACTAAAAATTCTTGAGTTCTCCTTTCTTGCTTCCAACATTAAGCCGATCAGGATAGGCAAGAGGCTAATCAGCACCCCACCAAATCGGAGGTGTGGGGTGGGTGACCTGCGGAGAAATGATTCAGCTTGCTTTATACAACACCACAATTGTCTTGTTTGTAGGTTAGCTACACAATAAAGTTCCTGTAGGTTTCATTTTAATGGGGTCAAAGACCCCCCCCCCAATCCTTACCACCCCAACCAAGGGGGCATAGATGCCAGGGAGCTGCCCACTTTTTCTTCGCATGACTTCCACGCACACTAATTTTACACAAATCTCATCTGTTATATCGCACTGTGTTCAACAGCCAATAAAAGGACAGATTTAGAACCCAAAAAAAGTCTCTTGAACTTCTCTGGAAAACAAAAGGGTAGTGGGATCGCTCTGATGAGATTACGGGGAGAGCATCGTTGAGTTTATCGGCCTCTGTCTCTGAGCCTGGCCTACTTTGCAGGGCCGTTGTGTGAAAAAGTAGGAGTGTCCCAGCTTCGCTTCTTTGGAATTCTGCTCTGAAAAGACGACCATGTAAATGATATAATAAAGGATCTTGTGGGTGGAGGAAGTAGCCAATTCTGTCTCGGAGGCAGGACGGGTGCCGTTTTGCGGCTTCCAGGGGTGAAACTGGCATCGGACCCCGATGGCTTACAGCCTTAAAGCCCCACAGGACAACTCAATCCCAGCACCTGGCAGGTGCAGCAGCCTCTGAGTAGATCCAGGATCCTTTGATCTGTTGCAAATTGTCCTGAAAACGTACAAAGGATCCCACTGTCGGATGAAGTCTTGGAAGCTGCAGAAAGAAGACGGGGGTATTTTTCTACCTTCTGCGTCCTTTCCCCGTCTCCAGCGTGTGGGCTACTAATCCCCGTCCTCTCTGGCTGTGGGTGATGGGTGGTGTAGTCCACTGCTGCCTTTTCAGTCCAACAGCCAGGAAAGAGCTTTTGAATGGAAGATGGAGCTTAGAAATGCCAGTGGAAGGAAGGAAAAGAAAAAGGGAGGGGAACGAGGAAGGAGCAATAGGGAAGGAAGGAAGGAATGAACAAAAGAAGGAAGGCGGAAAGGAGAGGGCATTGGACAGGAAGAAGGAAGGAGCAAAAGAAAAGGAAGGACAGAATGAAAAAGAAAGGAAGGAAGGAAGGAGCAAAACAAGTGAATGAAAAAGAAAAAAGGAAGGAGAAGAAACGATGGGAAGGAGCGAGGGAGAGGCCATTAGGAAGGAAGGAGCAAAAAGAAATAGGAAGGAAAGTGGGCAGGAAAAAGAAAGGATGGAAGGAAGGAGAAGAAAAGGGAGAAAGGAAGGATGGAGGAAAAGAAAAAGGAAGGAGAAGAAAAGAAAGGAAAAAGAAAAGGAAGAATGAAAGGAAAGAAAAAAAATTATTCTGCTCTCAGGCAGGTAAAGCACGTGGGCGTGTCATCAAACCTTCGAGGGCGTGGCTAGGAAGAAACCCGCCTCCTTCCGTGATTCAGATTAATTTCACTCTTCCTACGATGCTGGGACGATTCCATTCATGGGTCCATCCTCCTCCCGCCACCTCCCTCCAAAGTGGTCGCGCCCACTCGGCGCGCGGCGGAGTTTCTAATTGGAGCGAGGGAGGCGGAAGCGCTGCGGATGTGACGTAGGCGCCGGCGAGACCATCCTGGCGGCCGGTTGGGGGGGGGGATGAGAATGCAGGGAGACTGTTAACTCTGCCTCCCTCCTCAGACTGGCAGCCAATCGAGTCTCCTTCTCCCCTTCAGACTCGGATCCCCGGAGGAGACCTAGAGAGACCCCCCCCTTCTCCAGAACAGCCCCTCCCGGCCATGGAGCCTCCCGAGGAGCCGGTGAGTGGGGAAAAGCTGGATCTGGCCGCCCCCGGGCCCCGCGTGGCCAAGGGATCCCCCTCCAAGCCCAAGCCGGCCCCGGCCAGAGCCTCGCCCAGGACCCGGGCCAAGGCGCCGCCCGCTAAGAATGCCCCGAAAGCCGCGAAGAAGGCCGCCCAAATTCCCCCCAAGGCTTTAGACACAGTAGACGCTGCAGGGGAAAAGGA